GCCCTATATTTTTATAGTGAGATGAAAAATGGGAACTTGTATCCAAGTCCATCCAAGTCACTTCAGCAGGGGGATTCATGTTTGACCATAACCGACCACTTGTGTCCTAAAGTTATCTCCTTGCCCAAGACTGCAGGAATTTCCCTCTTTCTTTCTATTGAAAAAAAATAAAAGCGGGGTGGGGGAGAGGGAATATTTTCTGCTAATAAAAGTCACAATCAAGAAGTGAGAAAAATAATTCTGTTCTGTTAAAAGATGCCTGAGGCAACTTAAAAGTTTCAATCTATGCGTCCTATGGGTCTGGGTGTGAAGGCTTTCATTTTGATGTCAGGAATTATGTCTACACAATGGAGGAAGATAATGTTTTAAAGGAATAAGGAGACAAGAAGTCAGGGGGAAGTTGGATTCCTTGACCTGGCACCCTGAGACAGGCCCAGCCTCCTTTGTGAGGATTCTTTAATCCCACTAAGAGCCCCCACCACTCAGGTCTTTGCTCCTGAAGACTCTGGAAGCTTTTCCAGGTATCTGCAGCCTGGCCCTCTCCCCTGACCTCCAGACAGTGTATCTGTCTGCATCTCCACCACCTCCACTTAAATGTCCAATGGGCACCTCAAATGCAGCATGGCCGGCTGAACTCCCGACATGCCCCCCAAATCTTCTCCTGACCATTTTTCCCACTTTGGTTAATAGCAGCTCCAATTTTGGAGCCGCCCTGACTCCTCTTGATCCCACACCCCACACCCAATCTATCCACAAGCCCTGATGGCTCCACCTTCAAAATATTTCCAAAATCTCATCCTTTTCACCACCTCCAACACCACCACCCTGGTCAAGCCACCACCACCCACTGCCTGGATTTGTGCAACGGCCCCCTCATGGGTTTCCTGGCTTTCTCTCTTGACTGCCATCAAAATCTAGTCCCTGTACAGCTGCCAGAGTGACTTAGTTAAAGGGTAAGTCAGACCATACCCCTTTTCGGTCCAAACTTTTAATGGTTCCCATATCACTCAGAGTAAAAGCCCACAAGGCCGACCCCATCTGCCAGGATCCCCCTGTTGCTTCTCTGACCTTATCATCTCCCACCCTCCTCCTCACTCACTCAGCTCTAGACACTCTCACCTCCTTGCTGTTCCTGAAATAAACCCAGCACACACCTGCCTCAAAGCCTTTATACTTGCTCATCTCCTGGAATACTCTTCCCCAAACTGGCTGTATGACTCATTCCCTCACCTCCTTAGGTCTCAGCTCAAATGTCACCTCTTCACAGAGCCTTTCCCCCAAGCACCACATACAAAGCGGCAAAACCTCCCACTCCTGTCTTGACATCCCCTATCTCTCTGCACTTCCTGGAAAAAAATATATCTCTACAAATTTGTTTGGGTACTAGCTCACCCAACTCCATGAGGGCAGTAACTTGGTCTGTTTGTCCATCGCTGTACCCCACTGCCCGCATAGTACCTGACACATAGTGGGTGCTCAAAAACGCATTGCTGAATGAATAAACAAACGATGAAATGAATACCTGGCGATTTGCAGGAGGCGGAGGCTGCTGGACTGCTGTGGGTGCTGCCGAAGGCGTATAGATGCTGTTGGTGGCCAGCGAGACTGTGGCCAAGGGCGGGGCATTCCCCTGACACTGTTCCCGCTTGTGGGTCATAAACGCCGGCAGAGAGTTGAACTGCTTCTTACACTTCCCGCAGAGAAAGACATCCTCGTCATCTATGGGTCAATCACAGAGTAAGCAGAGGGAGAGGAATAACAAATAAACAGCAAGAATAAAGGAGGGGCTGTCACAGTGAGAAATGGGAGATGTGCATCTAGACTAGGAGAATAGCAAATCTAACAGAACTCTGCGATTCCATGTGTGTGTGTCAGGCATCAGTTTTGTGCTTCCCAGGAGCTTTCAAAACCATACAGGCACCTGTGGGAGTATCCAACCATGTGCATGAAGGTATTAAAAAATTAGAATCAGGAAATAGTAAAGTGGGTTCGCTTCAAAGTTGAGAAATTCAGAATCTTTATCCTGCCTAAATGCATCTGTCAGTCACCAGATGGGCCACATGATCACACTCTTCTGTGCCTTTGCATCCCGTTTCCCCATCAAGCTGCCTCTCTCAGAACAACTCATTCTACAAGGCTCAGCTCGGATGTCACCTCCTCCAGGAAGCCTTCCTAAAGTAGCGGCCACCGTTCCTTCCTCTAGGCATGTCTCTCATATCATATTTCTCCCATCACCACCAGACTGTGAGTTCCCTAAGGGAAGAAAATATGTCACCTGTCACCAGAACTGCAATATCTCCTGGGCACACAGGAGGCCCTCAGTGGATGTCTGTTGAAGGCATGAATAACTAACTGAATGATTAGCTATAGTTAACACCACCCATTACTGAGGGCCTACCACACGCCATGCACTGTGCTAAGCACTTGACATGCTGTGGCAGAAATGTCTAATTGTTATTCAATATTCACTCTCCATTCTTAGACAGTAATACAAATTTTAGTAGAAAACATGGCCGTCTAGTTAAAGACTATATTTCCCATCCTTCTTTGCAGCTAGACATGTCATGTAACTGAATTCTGACCAATAGGACAAGAGCAGGCATATGCTGTCTGGGCAACTTCCTCTTAAAAGGAAGGGGTATGACTTCCACTTCTTTCTTCCCTACATGTTGGTTGGAAGGTAGAAATGAGTGAGAGGCTGGAGCAGCCACCCTGGACTGCATGTTGATGGCAGTACAGCCCCAAGAAAGGAGTCTGAGTCTCACCATACCAACCCCAAATGCCCATCAGTACTTCATGTCACATTGAAATAAACTTTGATCTTGTACAAACCACAAAAACTTGTATTTCTTATTTATAACAGCTAAAACCGTACCCCAAGTATCCTCACAAGATTCCCATGCATTAGGGTTATTATCCCCGTTTTACAGATGCGAAAACTCAGGCAGAGAAGTTAACTCACTTGCCCGACGTCACAGAGCCAGGAACTACAGGAACAAGGATTCAAACCCAATGTGTATTACTCTACCCCTGGCGCGGTTCCCAAGTACTCAAATATGTGTGTGGAATGAATAAATGAACACACAGACTCACACAGGGCTCTAAAAGAAGTTCCTTACCCTCTCTGTGTCTCAGGGGCATGGCCTGTAAATTGGAGAGATTCGTGCTCAGCCTGTTCTTTCCATAGAGGGGAGGCGGAGAAATGACTTCCGGGTCAAAGGTACAAGACTGCCAAGCATGAGGGCTCCTAGCCATTCCCTGTGTCGTGATCCCCACATTCACTAAGTGACTGAGAGAGGGGATCCTCAGAGCTCAGCAGAGAAAGGCACGAGCCTGAAGATCCAGACCGAGAGGCAGGAGAGAAGGTTCCGACACCAGAGGACATCCTGGGGACCACAGTGGCCAGTTCACTCCCATATCCCCTCATGAGTGCCACTTGTTCTTCATGGGGAGCCATTCACCCCTCCCATTGGTGAACCTGAGCAGATACTCACCCAGTGGCTGGATAGCAGGGGGGGCGTTGACACTCTGGCCTGTTGGATCGGGGACTGCTCCTTGGCCATCCAATAAAGACTGGACTGCCAGGACAGTCTGATTGTCCATTCCTGAAGAAAGAAATGCAGCCTCTGGGGAAGGTGGGCCCAGCATCCTGCTCTGACTTCACCCTGAAAAGCCAGACCCACCGCAAGGCCCCCATGGCAAAGACAACTGGCTGTGCCCTGATATGCTTCCACTGCAACAGAACCCAAGACTTTGGCTGAAAACAGCTCCAGAATAAATATTACACTTCCCACCGCTCCTGTAGCCAAGGAATGTCTAAGTTCTAGCCAACTGGATGCAAGGAAAAGTATTACATGGCAGCTTCTGGGAAGTTTTCTTAAAAGCTGCCTGGGAAATAACCCCCTTCTTTGTCCCATCTTCCATCCTGCTTCCCAGAACAAGACTATGATGGTGGGAACTCTAGCCACTATCCCAGATCATGAGGATGAGGGCAATTCCCTAGGGATTTCAGGGCAAAAACAAACAAACAAACAAACAAAAAAAACCTGGAAAAATCCTGGGCCTCTGAGAACCTTGTAGAACACAGGCATCCTCACTCCCAACTGTATTCCTCCTAACTCCCACATATATGAACTTCTGCCTTACTTAAGCCACTGACAGGTTGCACTGCTCTCTTACTCATGGCTGATTCTAATCCTAAATTATACAGCCCCTCTGGAAATCATGTTACCAAGTCTTCCCCATCCATGCTCCACCAATCAGTTTTGCATTCCAACCTATTTTGCACTTGGGCATCCTTGCTTCCCTTGTTTTCCCATGTAGGCTTGTCTTTTCTGTGCCTCAATAAACAGCATAATTTGAATTTGTGGTCAGGGGACCCTTGAGAAGCTGACTACTTCCATGTTTTCCAATCAGTTGTCACTGTTGAGGTTCACAGTAGTACACTTATCCAGCCATGTCACTAGCTAGAGGACAAGTCTCCCCACATCTAAGGTGCCTCCTCCTCTCTGTCCCCACAGCCAAGGCTCTGTCTGCCTCCAACCTCTCAGCTCTTACCTGGACGCCTGCCCCAGCTTCTAACTGCAATGCAAATTAGAACCATTAGCTCCTGCAGCAGAATGAAAGCATGTTTTCCCCTGTCACAAAGCAGGCTGCGTCCCTCCTCAGGCCAGCGCTTCCCCTCCATTCCCTCCTGCTCCCTCAGAAACCACTGGCCAACTGGCACCTCTCCCCACACTGTGCCTGAAACCTCTCCCATGAGCAGCGACACAGGCTCAGGTCTCTCTAGAATGCCCTCCCTCGAACCCATGTTCTCATCTCTCCTCCCTTCAACATTAAGTATCTGATGAGCGCTGTCTACACCCTCCATCTCCCTCTGCCCACCTTCCAGTCCTCCTTCACACATTCTAGTGGGGCTTAAGCCCCTACCCTTCCGCCCAAATCACTGAAGACCATCTGGCAGCATTGAACTTTCCTTCTTGTAACACTCCCTTCTCTGGCTCCAGGACGCCCCCCTTCCTGGGTCTTCTCCCACCTTTCTGCTCACTCCCTCACAGCCTCCTTTACTCTTCTCCTGTCCATTCCCTAAATGTTCCTATTTTGAAGGGTTCCTTCTGCCTGGGCTCTCTCTCCTCTCCCTCTTATACTATCCCTGGGCAGCCTCACTCACCCCCAGTCTACCTCTCCCTAATACTGGAGCTCCAAAACTGGGGTTCATGCTTCCCTGAATGAGCTTCAGTAAATCTTCTACTGTTTCATGCAAAATTGTGAGTATCTTAGCATTTGCGTGCAAATCTGTACATGAACATTTATAGCAATTTTATTTATAACAGTAAAAAACTGGAAGCAACTCACATGTCCTTCAGTGGGGGAATGGTTAAACAAACTGTGGTATACCCATACCAGGGACTACTACTTAAGCAGTAAAAAGGAATAAACAATTGATATATACAACAGTATATGAATCTCCAGGAATTATGATGAGTAAAAAAAGCCTATCTCAAAGGTTATATATGATTCCATTTACATGACATTTTTAAAATGACAAAATTTTAGAAATGGAGAACAGATTGATTAGTGGTTGTCAGGCATCGGGGGAAGGAGGTGGGTGTGGCTATAAAAGGGTAACATCTTGTAGTGATGGAACTGTTCCGGGTGTTGACTTGTGATATGATAGGATAGTCTTACAAGATATTTCATTGGGGGAGACTAGGTAAAGGGTACAGGGGATCTCTGTATTATTTCTTTTTTTTTTTTTTTTACTTATTTCATTTTATTATTTTTTTAATTTTATTTTTTTATTGTGAAATAAACACTTTTTAGTTTCAGCTGTACAACACAGTGAATAGTTATACTTTTTACCCCTCAAAGTTACAACCCCCCTCCCCCAATCTGCCACCCCACTCCCCTCCCCGTTATCATACGTATCTATTACAATTCCCTTGACTCCACTCCCACACTATACTCCACGTCCCATGACTATATATACATTCAATTATAGTTGACATACAATATTATACAACAGGTGTACCGTGCAGTGATCTCTGTATTATTTCTTACTACTGCACGTGAACCCTCAGAAAAAAAATTATTTCAAAATTAATACTTTAAAAAATACTGCCTGTCTGACACTGCCCTCTACAGCTAAGATGCTGAACAACAGCTCAACCTGGAGCGTAGGCTGCAGCCCCTGCTGCAGTGGGTTGCCATGGGCTACCGTGTGGAGCCAGCAGCCGCTGTGAGCAGCCGTCCAGAAGCCAGCGACTGATCTGCCTCGCTTGGGAAGAGCGCAATGATGGTGCCAACTTGGGCCAGTGAAGCAACGTCCTCCACAACTAGACTGAAGAACAAAACGACAGCAACTTATCTGTTCCCCTTCCCCCAATTCCCCAGCTCTGTTCCCCTCCCCCAATTCCCCAATAAAAAAAAATCTAAAAAAAACAACAACACTGCCTGTCAAAACTATGGTGACAACAAAAGGATCAGCAGTTGCCAAGCGTTGCAGGGGAGGAATGAATAGGTAGAGCACAGAGGGTTTTTAAGGCAAAAAATATTCTGTATATTATAATAACGGATACATGTCATTCATTATACATTGGTCCAATAGAATTCACAACACCAAGAGTGAACGCTCAGATAAACTATGGACTTTGAGTGATTATTACGTGTCAATATATGTTGTCCTTGCTAACAAATGTACCACTCTGGTGAGTTAAGTCGATAATGGGGGAAGCTATGCATTTGTGGGGTCAGGGGGTATATAGGAAATATTTGTACCTTCCTCTCAACTTTGTTGTGACCCTCAAACTGCTCTAAAAGTCTTTTGTAAAAAATGCTGCCTATGTAAACTGAACTCAAACTAAATGTATCACTCCCATCCCTAAGTCTGTTCCTCTTTCTGTAATCCTCATCAATAAGAACAAGGCACCACTGTCCACCCCTGGGAAATCCCTTGATTCTTCCCTCAACCTATCTTCCCACCCTCCCTCCATTTCTAGTCCTTCAGCAAGTCTAGCCTATTCTGCCTCCCAAATATCACTCAGATCCACTTTCTCTCCATCCTCAGAGCTTTCCCTCTGGCCCAGACTACCATCAGTTCTCAGCAGGGAAACCGAAGCTATCTCATTTACCTTCCTGCTGCCCCTCTGGCACTCTGGCCCCTTGTCTGTTCTCAGGGCAGCCAGGGTGAATTTTATAAAACATACATCGGATTGTGTCACTCCCCTGCTGAAAACCCTTGTTGGCTCTATACTGAATCCAAGATAAAGTTCAGACGCCTCATCGCTACCCACATGAACTTCTGTGAATCCCAGAATGCCTCTCTCCCCCAAGGCTTTGCAAATGTATTGTAGTTCCCACTGCCTGGGTCGTTCCTGAATCCCCACAGTTCTACTGCCCTTCCCTTAGCCCAGCACACTTCACACTGTCCTAGGAACTGATTTTTCCTTTAATTTCTTCATCACTCAATACATGAACACATTCTTGCAGTAAAAATGCCAATAGTGAGGAAATCCATGGACCCCAAAGAGAAAGTAGTCCTCCCCCATCCTACTGGCCCCCCAGAGGGAACCACCACTGACCCTGGCCTCCACATCCATCACCAATCATAGTCCTGAATGCCAGCTGAGGGTATCATCTTTTACTGTTTACTTTTTCTGTAATTCTGTAATTGCTTGTTCTGAAATTTCTGCCTTCCACCAGATGTGGGACAGGGACTGTGTCTAGCTTAGTGAGTATTTCTGAAGCTGAACCTCTCCAGATCGGGGAAGGGTTACCCACATTTCATGGTGAGAACTCTAATCTTCCAAGAAGTCAAGGGACATGGCCGAGGTCTCCTGGGGAGTTGCAGCAACACTCAAAGCCTCAGCCACTTACCACTAGTCCTGCCTACTTTCAGTCTGCACTCCAATTATGTATACACTCAGCTTATTACACCCCTTCAAGAACACTCGTAGGTCTGTATCCCCCCAACATCAATTCTGTACCATTGCCCTGAAATCGCTGAGGCCCCCTCCATGACTCCAAATAGGTCCTCAAAGTTTGTTGTCCCCCAAAGCCCACAATTCCCTGCACCTGAGGCCCGCTCCCATTTTAGTATCTTGCAGAGGATAGGGTAATCAGTCGGTGCCCAGTGTTTGCTGGTTTGGGTCTGGGAGCACCACGTCCCAGCCAAGCATTCTTCGGCACCCGTTCTTTCTTGGTCTGAGTTTATAAATCTCTGCAACCCAGGACGGTGCACAAAGTAGGCGCTCAGTGCGTGCCAGCTTGGTATGTGAGCACCAAAGTCCTGGCCTTGCACGGAAGTGGCAACTATCCTTTCCTGGCCTGAATTTGAGAGACTATGTCACAGCATGAGGCACGCAGTTGCGCTCAACACAAGTTCTTCGTGGTCAGGACGCCTGGCTGTCCCTCCCGCCCCACAGCCGCTCCCACCGTCCCCAACGTGAGGCCCTTCCCGAGATTCGAGTCCACCGTGCGGCCTCCCTCGCCGCGGTTCCAGACCCAGCCGGCCCCACCCTCCTCGGCTGTTCCCTCCAGAGAGGCCCTCCCGCCCAGCCGGCGGCTGGAGCTGTTCCGGTCAGAGGCCCCCCCTCCCCGCTGGGCCAGCCCTCCCCGGCTGTTCCGGTCCCGGTGCTCCCCCCGGGGCCTTCTCTCCCCCGCTGTTCCTGTCCCCGTTGCCCCCCTCCTCCCGCTGGGCCTCAGCTCCCGCGGCTGTTCCGGTGCAGATGCCCGCCCCACCACCGAGCCCCCTCTCCGCTGCTGTTTGGTCTCATAGCCCCCACCCCACCGCCGGACCTCGGCTCCCGCGGCTGTTCCCGCCCGCGCCCCTCCCGCCCTGCGGCTGTTCCGGGCCCGGCGCCCTCCGCCCCGCGGCCGCCGCGCGCCCTGGGCCCGGCGCTGCGAGGGCGCGGCGGGAGGGGGCGCAACGCGGAACAGCCGCTTCCCTCGGCCGCTTCCCTCGGCCCCGCCGCCGCTCACCCTCCAGGGCCTCAAAGATCGTCTGCGCCATCTTGGAGCCGCCGCCGCCGCCGCCACGGGAGTCGAAGTGGGGCTACGCGAGCATTGTGGGAGCCGTGGCAGCGGCCGCGGCGGCGGGGTCGGGGCCACCAGAGGGCGCCCAGGAGCCGCCGCCGAGTCCCCAGTCACGGAAACCTGGGAATGGCCCGCGGGACCCCTAGCATCCCGAGCTCCCCCAGCTCCGCCTCGATGATCCAGGCACCAGCACTTGTGGACGCCTATGCCCGCCTCACGCGAACCCCCACCTCTGCACATCGACCCATCGCCGCCGCACTCGGGACTTCGTGTGTTATCTAGACCCTCATCCCCCGCCACACTGGACCTAACTCCCCAATTCTGGCACGTCTGCACTGTACATGAGACCCCCCAACTCTTAACACGGACCTATTCCCACTGCACACAGTATCCCCCACTTTTGCAACCCCTTTCCCACCTCACCGGGACCACTCAACCCTGTCAGCAGGAACTCCAACTAACACAGGACCCCTGCCTCAACTGCACCCGAGTCCCATCCCTTGTCATAGACTTCTCGTTCCCTCTCCCACAGTGAGCCCTGTCTCGGCCTATTGGGAGTCAACTGCCTCTCATGTGACCACCACCTCAGCCTGGTCCTAATCTCTCATCATCTCAGAGATTCACCCATGGCTGTTGCTTAACCCCCCACTTCCACCTTTTGGGGACCTCCATTTCCTCTTCATACAGACCTACATCGCTGCCTCCTGGGGACCCCATTTCTGTCACATAAACCCCCAGTACCTGCTCAGCAACCTCCAGCCAAGCCTTACAGAAAGCCCACGCAGGTCTCCCAGGGATCCTCCCAGCCCCTCCTTGAGACCCCGGTCACACACACCCCTCTCTCATCTTGGTGCTCCATCAGCTGCTCATGAGGGCTGACTATCTACACCAAGTCCTATAATAGCTCCAGGAATACACTGGTTCTTTCCTAGTTAGGGGTAGAGAGGGAGCAGACAAACATTAAGTCTTAAATATTATTTAATTACAAGGTGTGATAGTGGTTCCAAAGAAGTACACTTGGGTGACAAGGAGGAGTTGGGGAGCGTGTGTGGTGTGAGGAGAGGGAACCAGGGAGGTGCCATCCATCATTTCTCCCACGAGCAATCCTACAACCGGACTACCATGGATTTGACTCGAAATGGTCTCATTAGATTTTAGCTTCATCCAAAGCAATAATCGTAAAAATCACAATTGTCATTTTTCTTATATTTAATAAATATATAACTCCTAAAAGGCAAAATATTGGTTCAAAGCTCCTCTGTCCTTCTGGAACAGTACCAGCCACTGTTCCTAATAAGTTGCCTCACAGACCTGCTTACACACCCCTCAAGGCTTATTTCTACCGGTGAGTTCCCCACCCTGCCCTGAACACCATCCCTATGCCCCGCATGGCTACCTCCTTCCCCTCCCTGCCCCCCTTGCACAGTGAGCCCTTGCACCTGTCTCCCACAGAGAACCCCCACCCCTCCCAGACTCCATGCCCCACCTTCTTTCCTGGGAACCTTGGAGACCCAGGCCCCACCTCAATCCCTAAACTCCCTTACCCATTGCCTCTCTGGCAGGAGTAAGGCCAGGGTTCCCTCCTCCCTGTCTTTTCTTTAAGATCTCCATTGGTCCAGTGGCCTCAGATTCTCATCCTCTGTCCCCGGCAAGAATTCTTGAATATAACTGTTCTTTTAATTATTCAAGTACTATATTAGTATGTTCATATTCATTTAATTAATTTAAAAATATTTATTGGATGCCTATTGTGTGTTAGGCACTATTCTAGATGCTAGGGACACAGCCTTCAACAAAAAGATAAAAATCCTTGCCTTCATGGAGTCATAGTTCAGCAGGTAAGATGGGCTGTAAACAATAAGAGAGAGAGAGAGAGAGAGAGAGAGAGAGAGGTGCTCTGTGACTATAAATACTTTTTTTTCTGGGAGGAGGGGAAGCCTCCTTTAGCCAGGGTGGTTAGGGATGGCCTCTCTGAGGAGGTGGACCTGAGGAATAAGATGAAGTCAGATGGAGAAAAGGGAACAGAAAGGCAGAGTTTATTACTTGTATCATCTTGGGCAAGTGCAAAGACCCTAAAGGCCAAAATGAAAGGAGTCCAAGGACTGTAAAACGGGTGATAGAGTAATAAGCGAGGTATGAGTACAGGGGGATGAGGATGGAGAGACAGACAGGGCCACAGTGAGGGTTTGGACTTAGTTCTAAGGGTGATGGGAGGCACTGGACAGTAGAAGAGTCTACCAACACAGGCCTTGGCAGATTTCCATGTATTTCTATATATCCAGGTGCATATGCGCATAGTTGATTTTTATCTGTTCTTTAGGCCTTTGCACATACTGTTCTCTCGTCAAAATGCCAGTCTTCCACACTCATTGGAACAATAGAAGCTTGCCTTCTTGCCTCCTCTAAGAAGCGTTCCCTGATTTCCTTAGATGAGATCTTGTTCCCTCCCTTGTGATTCTAGCTCCTCACGGCACTTGGTACTACCCCTGTCACGTGATAAGGTTCAGCCCTTGGAGGTTCGCCTTTTCTCTACCCCCTCTATAGGGAGCCCTCTGAGCCGGGTGGGTGCTTACTCCATTCTGGTTGGAACTCAGATCCTCACATGGAGGTAACCTGGGAAGTGCTTGTTGACTGACTACCTGACTGATGGAACAACTGAATGAGCTTTCAGGGAGGTTCTCCAGCAGGTTCCCATCAGGCTGCCTTACTCCAAACTTTCCACTCCTTCCCTCCATCTCTTCCACCACCAAAATCCATCAGTCCTATGTCCCATTCCCTCACGGCCAGCTGGTTTTGGCACATGCAATCACAGTTTAGAGACTCCTGGAGTAAGTAATGTAGAATTCCAGGCATGGAGCCAAGCAGGGAGGAGGGAACATTTGGGATACTTCCAGTGTCATCCCCCCGCTCCACAATAAGTGCTCCAGCCACCCCAGAAGAGCTAAATTCCCTGTGGGGAGAGGAGAAATCATGAGCAGCTTAAACCAGACTCCCAGCTGCAAGGGGAAGAAAGTAAGGACATACAAAACAACTCTGGGCCCTGACATCTTGTTAGGTTCATTGGTATTGGTAGGAGACAGCAAAGCATGATGGTTGTTATGGCTGAACTGTGTCCCCCAGAATTCATATGTTGACATCCTATATGTTGGTACCTCACTACTCAGAATGTAACTGTATTTGGAGATAGAGTCTTCAAAGAGGTAATGAAGATTGAATGAGGTCAGCTCTTTGAGGAAGACGTGGTCACAGCTACAGCAGAGCTCCGTTCTGCCTGCTCCTGTTGCTGACTCATCACTGTTCCCTCTCACAGAGAAACAAGTTGGTCAGGAAGCCATGTGGCAGCCATGGCATTTAAAGATACCAGAAACACATCCATGGGACCAGAGGCGGCAATTCAGCACGTTAGAATTACTCTTCATAAAATCCTTGGAGGGCCGGCCGAGTGGCGCATTGGTTAAGAGCTGGCTTGGGACGCCAGAGGGCCCCCGATCGGATCCCACATATGAGGGCCAGTGACATCGCCCTCTACAGCTAAGATGCTGAACAACAGCTCAACCTGGAGCTGGGCTGCCGTGAGTCGCCTGCGACAGCGTAGGCTGCAGCCCCTGCGGCAGTGGGTTGCCATGGGCTACCGTGTGTAGCCAGCAGCCGCTGTGAGCGGCCGTCCAGAAGCCGGCGACTGATCTGCCTCACCCGGGAAGAGCGCAATGATGGTGCCAACTTGGGCCAGTGAAGCAACGTCCTCCACAACTAGACTGAAGAGCAAAAGGACAGCAACTTGTCTGTTCCCCTTCCCCCAATTCCCCAGTGCTGTTCCCATCCCCCAATTCCCCAAATAAATATCTTAAAAAAAAAATCCTTGGAAAAGGTGTGTGCTGACTTGATCAGAGGTGCAAAGGAAAAGACTCTGAAAGTGAAAGGACCAGAACCAGTTTGGGTGCCTACCAAGACTCTGAGAATCACTGCAATAAAAACTCCCTGTAGGGAAGGCTCTAAGACTTGGGATCGTTTTATTCAGATGAGGATACACAAGTGACTCATTAATTTGCACAGTCTTTCTGAGATTGTTAAGTAGATTACTTCCATCAGTATTGAATTGGGAGTTGAGGTTGAAGTAACCATTGCAGACACTTAAATCAACCTTTTCAATAAATTGGCTATCAGTTGTTAAAAAAAAATAAAATAAAAGATTAAATGAGGCCATATAGGTGGGCCCTAATCCAGTATGACTGATGTCCTTATAAGAAGAGGAGATTTTGATACACATAGACTGAGGGAAGACCATGTGAGGACATGGGGAGAAGCCAACCATCTGAAAGTGAAGGAACCTCAAAAGAAACCAAACCTGCAGACAACCTGATCTTGGACTTCTAGCCTCCAGAATTATGAGACAATACATTTATGTTGTTTGAGCCACCTAGTCCAGTTAGTTTGTTATGGAAGCCCCAGCAAACTAGTACAGTGGTTAAGATCAAAGACTCTGAAGTCAGGGGGTCTGGATTCCAATTCTGGTTCCATGACTTATTAGCTATATCATCTTAGGCAAGTGACTTTGTTTCTCTGCTTCTCAGTTTCCCATCCGTTAAGTGGGCATTATTATAGTACCTACCTCATAGGGTTACTATGAGAATGAAATGGTTAATAAAGCACCTAAGAAACAATCTCTGGAATACAGCAATTATTTTGTAGGTACTTGTTAAATAAATAAATTTGATTTTACTGGGTAGGATCAATAAACAGGTGCTGCCCTGTGTTATGTACAATTAAAAAGGGTCATCAAGCAATAAGTGTTGCCATGTGGCAACTCTTTATCCGGGACTCCTTGAGATCAGAAACTTATTTATCTCTGTGAGAAAGGGCTTAGCAAAAGATAGCACCCAGGAAGAACTTGCTGATCCAAATAGTTTCCAAACACTTTCTCCTGATGCTGAGCAATGTGTCAGGGCTTGGTGACTAATTCTTCATGGGTGTGTTAGGTGATATTTCTAGATATTCTGTTTGGTTCCTTTTCAAATTTTTCATGTTTTTTAATAGTTTTCTGTTCTCTGTAGCTATTTTCTAGATTTAAATCTTGTGTGCACAATTTTTAAAAACCTGTGTCTGTGAATTACAATACCTGAAATCTGTATCGATCTGTTCCTCTCATATGTTGTGTCTGTTTCTTTTTCATAAAGTCTTGGGTGCCTGGTTTTCTCTGACTGTGCTGGTCATCATCACCTTGAAAAATTATTTGTGGTAATTACATGAAGCCAAAGATAGATCTGCCTGTCTTCATAGAGGCTTTGCATTTATTTGCTTTTGCCAAAGGTTTGGGGGAACTTCCAGTCAGTTATCACCTCAAACCAGGTTTCCAGTTCATGGCTTGAGATTTCTTGGGCTTCCAGGCTCTACTTCTTAGGGTACAAAAGGACATATCAATGGTTACAACTTCCTAAGGAAGGACTTTTAAAAAATTCCCTTTCCTTTTCCTTTAACTGTTCTGCTCAGCACCAAAGCGACCTTTTCTGAACTCACTTGGGGCTAGTGGTGTGGGGTGTGCAGTAGGCTCATATCACATTAAACTTGAGGTAAGACCCTTTGGGGTCTCAGCTTAATGTGGAGAGTTTCTTTTATATGACTCCTCACCTAGGACAGGCCCTGGACTTCCACTTCTGTCCTTCTTGCCCTATGTGGTGGATGAACTGAAACCCACAGGTTCAACATTGGCAAATGCCCTCATATCATCAGTAGCTTCGGTGCTCCAGTATTGTAATCTTCCTGCTAACTTGTTATCAGCTTTTACCCAAAAATTGGTCTAGGCATTCCCCAGGCTTTTTAGAATTTAGTGTTTTTCAGAGGATATTTTTATATTTCATTTAACAGTGTCACTATTTTCAGAGGAAGGGTTACCTGAATTAACCGGTCTATCGTTACTGAAAAAAGAGAAAGAAAATCCAGTTTTAGTAATAAAGTAGGCCCAGCATAATTTTTCCTTCATTGATCTCTGACATTATCCCCTGACACTGATACAAGCAATAACAGAGATAAATGCCACATGGCCAAGTATGAGGGGATACCCTCACAAGTTATAGCCACCACTCAACGTGTAGCTGTTATCCAATGACAACACACAGTGACATCATATATAAATGTCATTCATCAATGCCCTTGGGAGATGATAACCCAAACTACATTGCTTTAACAAGCATATGGTTGGGCACCCACCATGTGCTAAGTGCTGGGGTTACAGCAGAAAACAAAACAGACGAGGTTTCTGTCCTCATGAAATTTACAATCTGGTAGGGGCAATAGATAATTAACATGTAGCAAAAAAATAATTTCAAAGAGTAAAAAGTTCTATGAAGAAATGAAAGGATAATGAGTCAGAGTGGGCAGTGTTACTTTAGATGGGACATCTAGGAAGACCTCTCTGAGGTGGTGACATCTGAGCTGAAACCCGAGGGCTGGCTGAGAAGGAGCCAGCTATGGGAAGAACTGGGAGTGATGCATACGAGGCAGGAAAATAGCAAGTGCAAAGGCGCAGAGGCTGGAGCGTTCTTGGCATGTTCAAGGAACAGCAAGGAGGCCAGTTTGGCTGGAGCAGAATGAATGAAAGGGAAAGTGACAGACATGTGTTTAGGTAGGGAAGCAGGGGCCAGCTCATACAGGTCTTGTGGGCCGTGGGAAGGAGTTTGAATTTTAAGAATGGAAAACATTGAGGCTGCTAAGTGATTTATGCTCTGAGAAGATCTTGATGATCACTGTTACCCCATCAGAGCTATCATGCATAAAGAAGAGGCCTGGCTCCTCCCAGTGTCACCATCCCAACTCTAGGGAGGGCGGTTCCTCTTTCAGGAAATCTTGGACATACTTTATTCTAAACCCGAGGAAAACAAGCTTTCTAGTTGGACAAGTCCAGGTGTATGATTCTGCCCTTCCTTAGGTCGAGTCTGGCGGAGCCCATTGTGATTGGTTACAGCTCTCCTTCTCTTCCAATTAGACCTCTATTCGGGAAAGTATGTGCGTCGCATTCCGCTTGTGAAATGAGTGCGCCCTATGATTGGCTCTCCCTGAATGAGTGACAGCAGATCACAGCTTATGGTCGTAAAGATGCGGTGACGCTGCTCGGCGCTGCCGGGCGCTGTGCAGCCTGAACCAGGAGCCGTCAGGGCAGGTTCGGCTCGGTTCTCTACACCCCGAGTGCCACCCGCGCTATGGCCGCCCCGCCGCAGCTTCGGGCTCTACTCCTGGCTGTCAACGCACTGCTGCGCAAGCGCCGCTACCACGCTGCGTTGGCCGTGCTTAAAGGTTTCCGGAACGGGGCAGTGTGAGTGGGGCCGCAGGGTCCGGCCGGGGCTGAGGGACGGGCTTGGCTGGGATCGGCGTCGCGGGTTCCCGGCGTCGCGGGTTCCCGGCGTCGCGGGTTCCCGGCGTCGCGGGTTCCCGACCCCGCGCCACTGCGCTGTGTATCCTTGAGCAGCCCTGGTGTGTCTCTAGGTCTCGGTGTCCACCATCTGCGCGCTGGGCGCTGGATTTTGGGTTCCGAGCGCCTTCTGAGCCGGGGTTCCCAACTACGCTTTTTCTGGATCCTTCGTGCTTTGCAACCTGGCTGTCTTTCCTTGACCACCTCCCATGTCAGTCTCTGTATCCCCTTTTGGGCCCAGTTTCCCCCTGTCCCTCCCCCGACCTGCTGTGTGCCCTTGGGCCTCTGCTTCAGTTGCCCCATCTGCACAATAGGAAGCTGGACTCTGGCCTCTAGCAGGCCTCTGCTTATGCTTCCCCCATTAAACTGCCCGTGGGCTCGCATCCTGTTTCTCACTCCCCATCTGTATGACTCCGAGCACTAAGGTCCTATCTAGTACAGGGGACTCGTAGGGCATATGCCCCAGGAGTGACAACGAATGTTTTAAAAAGCTGCAAATACAGTATTTGTTGGACAAACTGATTCCACTCTGGCCATCAGACTTGCAGGAGAGGAGGTCTTGGAGTCATTTCACCTGGAGGAGAGAGCTTAGCCTCCTTTAAACCTCATGCATAACAGCTATAATTTATTGAGAACCAACGGTGCCAAAATTGGGGACGCAGCAGAGAACAAACTGAGCAAAGATCTGCGTCCTCCTGGGGTTGGCATCCTAGTGGCAGCATGCCATGGTGGTAAGGATGTGGATTGCCTCAGTTTGAATCCTGGTGCCACCTACCTGTGTGATCTTAAGCAAGTCATTTAGCCTCTCTAAGCCTCAATTTCTGTAAAATGGGGATGATAACAGTATTCATATCATACTGTCAGGATTGAGTCTATATGTGTGAAATGCTTAGCATAGAGCCTGGGACAGTATGTGAATAAAACTTGGCTGCTGTTATTATTGTTATATTCACTTGGGCGTTTGCCTGGATCACTTTCCTCACCTTATTCAGGCTTCTGTTTAAGTGTCACCTCTTCAATGAGGCCATCCCTGAACTCCCCACCTCCTTCCCTACTTAATTTTCTTCATGGTACTTATCATCTGACATGAAATAGTTCACTCATATATCCTGTTTTTCTACTCTCTCTCTCTCTCTCACAAGAAAGTGAACTTTATGGGAACAAAAATTTTTATCTACTTTGTTCCTTGGTGTATTCCTAGTACTTAGTACATAGTAGGCTCTCAAATATTCATTGAATGGATGAATAAGTTTGCAAGGTAGGAATTGCCATTGTCCCCATTTTCCAGATGAGAAGACTGACTCAAAGAGTTAAACGCATTACTCATGATTATATTACTTGGTTAGGGTCTGAGCCAACATTCAAACCCAAGGATGCCTGACCCCAACACCCGGCTCTTGGCTTCCATGGGCACCCAGAGTTTCAGATAGAAGTTGATTGCCACTGTGTCTGGCCAGATCATATCAGCCATGCCTTGGTGTGACCAGGGTGGAATGAACCCTGAGATAACGTCAGTGGCCCTTTGCCAAGGTATTCTCAGGACAAAGCAGGAGTGAAAAGGAGCCACAAAGGCCCTAGTGCCAATGGGCTTACCCAATGCTGGCTTTGTACACTCGCTCCTACTTAACTCTTCCTGTGATCTCAGGAACCTTCCCAGCCAGGGCAGGCACTTGCTAAGGTCAGGCCCTTGGGCTCAAATCCCAGTTCTTTCATTTCAAAGCTGGGTCCCCTCATTTCTTCTGGTTTCTTCCTCTGTAAAATGGAAACAAACTCACCCATATAGGGGTGCCCTAAGCAGTGATTCCATTATTGGGTAGTGTTAAGACACCATGCCCACCTATAAGGACCTGGCATCCAAAAGGGAGATTGATCATTAAACTGCCATGGCAGTACAAGGTGATTGGGAGTGCTGTACAAGACGAGGTGATGGTGATACGAGGTGTGATCAAAAACTATGGTGAATGTTTAAATTTTAAAAATGTATTACAGTAAAAGACACATTGCCGTTAATCCCCCTCAAAATACTCCCCCTCGCTTCGAACACATTTATCCCATCATTCTCACCACTTTCTGGAGCAGTTCTGGAAGTCCTCTTTTGTGAGTGTCTTTAGTTATGCTGTCATAACTATCTCAATGTACTGAATTGACTCAAGACATTTTTTCTTTCATTGTCATTTTTACTTTAGGGAAGAACCAGAAATCTCATGGTACCAGATCCAATGAATAAGGTGGATGAGGACACACCGTAATGTTTTTATTTGACAGAAATTGCTGTGCCAGAAGTGATGTGTGACGTGGAGCCTCTCCATGATCACAAAATACGGTGAATGCTGCTGCTGAGTGCCATTCAATGGAAAGGCAGAGATCTTCAATACAGGAAGCAGCCTTGGAACCTTAGTAACAGTGTGTGACAAGTTTCAACTTGTTCAGTGCAATCAGTTGGGTGTGAGCTTTGGTTGAGAGAGGGTGCGTTTTAAAGTGTGCCATAAATCATCCTCCATCATGACAGTGTTCCGTGTCACACATTGTTTCTGGTATACGGCAATTTCTGTCAAAAACATTATGGTATATCTTCATCCACCTTATTCACCGGATCTGGCACCATATGGCTTCTGACTCTTCTCCAAAGTCAAAATGACCATGAAAAGAAAACATTTTGAATCAAATTCAGGACATTGAGGCAGCCATGACAAAGCAACTAAAGACACTCACAAAAGAGGACTTCCAGAACTACTTCAGAAAGCGGCAAGAACGATGGGATACGTGTGTTCGAAGTGAGGGGAGTATTTTGAGGGGGACTAACGGCAATGTGTCTTTTACTGTAATAAATTTTTTAAAAATTTAAACATTCACCATATTGTTTGATCACACCTCGTACTTTGAAAGCTGAGTTGTAATTTGCTAGGGGGAAAAGGGTATCCCAGGCAGAGGGAATGGTTTGAAGAAAGGCCTGGAGGTTGAAAAGAATATGCTGTTTGTGAAGAAGGCCATCCATTTAGGGAGGCAGACTTGAATGACTGAAATATATGATCTTTGTAAAATTTAACTAATTTTGATGTTCTACTCCTAAATATATTAATATGCATGCATCTCTAAAAGTAAGAGCATTTTCCTATTTGGCTAAATTATCATGATTACATTTAATAAATTAATATTCATCCTATAACATTGACTAATGTGCAGTCGATAGACACATTGTCCCAGTTGTCTCCCAAATGGCCTCTACAGCTAGTTTGTCTAAACCAGGATCCTCTAGGACAGGGGTCGGCAAACTTTTGAGATGGAAGA